GGAGATAATTAAGACGGACAAAAAAAGCAGCATAATAATGTGACGGGCAAAGCTAATACGGAAAAGACAAGTTTCATGTTATATAAGGCCTAATTTTGCTAAATATTAAAGAATAAATTAACTTTGCTAAATAACTCTAACAATTTGCAATTATACTAGTATTTAATTCGAAGTCTCAACTAAGAGCGAGTCTTAGATATCAAGTACGTACAGGTTCAACACAAGAAAACAAATAATTAGAAAAGAATGGTACTGGAACATTTTCAGGTACTTTAGAAATGAATAGCAAGGTATTAATTAAGAATATCACGAAGAGAGAGTGTAAAATGGCATAGTCATTTAGATAGTTAGTATCGATGATTATGTGGGAGAAATTATTTAAAAAAACTGTCAATCAATCGTCATCTTGCTGTTGAAGTTGGAAAGCGCATATTAGCAACTGCCCAATACCCTAGCAAATGGCGATACTATACAGTAGTTAGGTCGACAGAAATTAGAATTTACGATAAAACAAAGGCCAAAATTAAAATACCCACAGAGCTTCCACTTTCTCCTCATAAAGTGCAACTCCGATCAGATGAAGGACGAAATCGAACAAGGTATCCGACCACCAGGAAGGTGAGGATGATTGGGTAAGACCTATATCAAGAAGGCTGCGCAATAGACGAATCATCGTCGGACAGCGGACAATATCTAAAAGACGGTAGCCAGGATCTAGCAAATCAGGAGAAGTGTCTCTGTTTGCAGAATCCAGTGATGCACAAGATCGACGGAAGGACCGAAGTGGCCAGGGTGGTGGTAATGGAACTGGCAACTCACTAGCCATGCGATGAAGCTGGGAAGGCCAGAGGTCACTGGAAGCATTAGAGGATGTTAGCTGTTGAGAAAGCTCCTGTTGCCACTTTTTCACCGTCTTGCAGGCCCATTCCTCAGCCTGAAAGGATGAGCAGCAGCAAGTACACAATATATAAGATAGGACATTTTTGAAGTAATTTTAAAAAGGCTACAGCTCTGATAAACAAGACAAAATATGTTTTCGCTGTATAAGTAGATATTTAAGGCTATTAGCAAAACATATAAGAAGTATGCAACCTTCGTTTTTGGGTGATAAGGGTAATTGAATTTTTTCGCAATGATATAAGTAAACCTTACGGTTCCGTTAAATTTGATATAGCCTTAAACAGGGTAGATGTGAATTTCAAGGAAGGAAGAAAGTTTTCGAGATTATAAGAAGCAGGGCTATGTGAAATTCAATGAAAGCGTAAGGCCTACTCATATCACCATGGAAAAATTCAACTACTAATCTTTTCATTACCTTAAAAGAAATAGAGTGAATGCACTACATTTATAAGATCAAATGAAGCCGACAACATAGCAAAATTCTACCTTGTTAAAACACGGCCTAATGCAAAAAATCAAGAGCACAAGGCAAAGTCTTAAAATTATGTTTTAAATATAAAAAGATGAAAAATAAATAGACCTGAGAAAAGCCAACAATGTGCCCTTCAGTTATGTATTTATTAAGAAAGAAACATCGTAGTAGCTCATTGCTCCATAGTTAAACATTTTAAGTGCAAATAGGTATGACCTAAAAATATTTTTAATTTTTAGAAGTTTCAGACATTGAAGAATGTTCAATTTATGTATACTAAAGTTGAATTAAAATGTTTTTAAAAAACAATGAAAAGTTAATCACTTCCACTAAAAAAACAGAATTTTGCTATCAGTGTAAATTCTATTAGTCGGAGCTTCTTAGTAAAACTAGAGACCCCGAAGCCAGCAAAAATGACCATTTTGAGGATTGATCTAAGGAAGCAGTCTGAAAGTACAAGAACAACAATGATTTATATGGGTAGCTATTGAGTTTGTTCTGAAACAGGAACTATTGCTCATCACATTGAGTTTTTTAAGCAAGATAAAAAAAGTGAAAGATATGAGCAAATGATTTCCTGGAAATAAATGTTTTTAAGATTATGTGAAAAAAAAATATATATATATATTCGCAAAACGTACTGTCGTTTGTTCTGGTTGCCTAGAGGCCCAATAGAATCGATTAAAGCGAGTGGCCACTATCTGCGGCTTGAGAGAAAAAAGAACCCGGCCGCCAACTGTCGAATTTATAGCCATCTGAGCAAGTAAACGAGGTAGGACTTGCTCTATGTCCAGCCGAGTGTGTCGCTTCGGTTTCTTGTCAATGGGCAAGATGATCACGAAGTTGAGAGAAGTTCGTCAAAGAGTAATTCAGGGTTTTTGATGGGTAGTGTGGAATAAAATAAAATTTAGGTAAATATTTAATGAAACGAAATTCGAGGGGAGCATTTTAATGAAGATTTATCTTATAGTAGAAAATTAAGTGAAGTAAAGGATCAAATAAGCGATGTATTCGAAGATGTGTGGGAAAAATATCACAAAATTAATCACTTTTTGGCTCAGATTAACATTTTTTTAAAGAATTAATAAAAGACGCCTTATTACTGATAGAACATAAAGAATCCAAGCAAGCATGTAAGAAGCGAAGTTAGTTGAAA